ACCACCAGAGAATCCACACTGGAGAAAAGCCTTTCCAGTGTGCAGCCTGTGAGAAGTCATTTCGAGATCGGTCAACCCTCATTCGACACCAGAAAATTCACACTGGTGAAAGGCCTTACGAGTGCAGCGAGTGTGGAAAACTGTTCAGCCGTAGCTCCCACCTTACTAAACACAAAAGAACCCACGCTAAACGGACCCCGTTTGCATGTGGTGATTGTGGTAAGTTGTTCAGCCACAAATCTTTATTCATTTACCACCAGAGAATTCACAGTGGAGAACGGCCTTACGCGTGTGTGGAATGTGAGAAATCATTTAATGATCGCTCAACCCTCCTCCGACACCAGAAAATCCACACGGGTGAAAGGCCTTACGGGTGCAGTGAGTGTGGGAAACTGTTCAGCCGTAACACCCACCTGAATAAACACAAGAGAATTCACAGTAGAGAAATGCTGTATGAGTGCAGCAAAGGTGGGAAGCTCTTTAACAGCTGTTCCTATGTAACAAGTCATAAGAAGATCCACACAGGCACAGAACTGTTGATGTGTGGTGAATGTGGGAAGTCATTCAGCCGCAGGTCCAGCCTCGTCCAGCACCGGAGGATTCACACTGGAATCATGGCATACACATGTGGTGAATGCGGGAAATCATTTAGCCGCAAATCTTTATTCATTTACCACCAGAGAGTTCACTCTGGAGAAAAGCCTTTTGAGTGTGCCGTTTGTGAGAAGTCATTTCGAGATCGGTCAACCCTCATTCGACACCAGAAGATTCACAGTGGTGAAAGGCCTTATGAGTGCAGTGAGTGTGGAAAACTGTTCAGCCGTAACTCCCACCTGAATAAACACAAGAGAATTCACACTGGAGAAATGCCTTATGAGTGCAGTGAATGTGGGAAATCGTACATCTACAGACATGGTTTAATCCGACATCAGAATTCACATAAGAAGAAAGCTTCATGAGTCCGGAGACTGTTGGAAATTCTGTCCACAAAGGTTACCTCGTTTAACGAAAGAGGATGAAAACTGTACCCAGGCCGTCATAATATGAGGAAGTGGAAAGTGCTCCACCTGCAAATCTAAATTCATTTCTCCACTGGGAGATGTTTTACATGTTGGGAGTGGGCAACTTCTGTGTTCAGTAGAATGACGTTGGAGGAGAGCCTGTGTGAGGGATGAGTGAACGAGAATAGACCTGTGTTCAAAAAGGCGTGTCCTCCTAAGTTCCAAGTATGTGAGAATTCTTCAGAGAGTATGTAAATCTTGAGGCTTTTGCTGTATTTTTGTCATTGTCAGGCTCGATGGCATAACCCATTTACCTCCCACCCGTCAGGTTCCTGCAGCGTGCATCAGTCACCACCCAGAGGTGCTCAGGAAGGCAGGCTTTGCGTACGTATTTGGTGGACGAAATCAATGAGTACATGAAGATGAAAGCCAGCTTCATTTCCTTTTCTCACTAAGTTTAGGCCTGGATTTGACCCATTTTGGGCCTGAAGGATGAAATCCTTGTTATGCTAGTGTTTTACTGAGAAGGACTAGAGTTTCCAGGGCCATTGGTTCTCACAATGCTTGCAGTTACTATGTCCAGCTTCCATGCCAACCCCCTGGAAACCCCCTGCTGCATGCTTCTCTATTTTTTTAGTCATCTATTTATCATTTTTACCAATAAAGCTGCTGTGAACATTTGTGTATAATTCTGTATATGCAACTTCTCATTTTCTTACATACTTGTTTCTAAGCTTTCATCAGAACTTGCTGTGTCCTAGACCAGGGAGCTCTGGTGATGTAACCCATAGGGAGCAGGGCTGACCCTCAGGCAATGCGCCAGCAGCCCTCCAGGAGAAAGAAATGCACTGGAGGGTCAACGGTGAGACAACTCCAGCTTGGCAGGAGTGAGTTGCACTGAATCCTACACTAGTCTTGAGTCAGTGTCAGCTGCCTCAGCCTGCTAGTCCTCCCAGTATCTTGTACAATAGATATTATTGAGATGGATGCACGATTGAAGCCCCTGTTTGACAACTTTGTGATGGAGACCACATGTAGTGTGACTTCCACTGGTACTACCTGCCACAGCCGAGAAGGAAATCTTATGTGTGCAGGCATGCAGTAGTGACATTACAGCACAGTCCAGTGATGCACACAGGTATGGGGGAGACCCCAGTGACGGATACATATGACATAGGCAGAGACTGACTCAGACACTACAGCAGACATGGAAACATCTCCATGAGAATTTGTTGTGGTTTAAAAAAATACTTATTAAAGTTTACAGAGACTTTGGTTTTCCATTCATTCATAGCTGCACACTTTCCTCCCTGCCCAGTCTGCTTTTCTCTTTAAAAAAGTTTAAAAAAAAAATTCATTGCTATACAATTCCCGCCCCTCCCCAGTCTACTCCACTATGCAGCTTTCATTCTGGACTCATCTCAGTAGTACTTAATCCTATGTTCTTCCGAAACACTTCTCTCCCTCCTCTGTTTCAATGCAGTAGACATTACTTATCCCCTCTTAGTTTTCCTCCAACTCTGATGTTAGTCCCATTTTACAAAAGTGACATTGCAGTATTTGTCCTTTTGTGACTGAGATATTTCACTCAGGTCAGTGACACTGCTGTATTTATCCTTTCGTGACTGGGATACTTCACTCAGCATAATGTCTTCCAGGCTCGCTCCATGGGTATTTGTGCCAGGAGGGTCCCAAGGCCTGAAGTATGGCAATACATAGTGACTTGATTCCTCAGGGTCAAGTGTGATGGAACAAACGACTTCCCGCAAAACAAACCTTGCTCCTATCCTGTCAGTATGAATTGTCTTTTTTTCTTTTTTCTTATTGCCCAGTGCGGTGAGGAGAAGCAGTCATGCTAAAGCCATACGATAGTGGCCAGGAAAAAGTCCTGGGAGCGGGACATGCCAGAGTCAGTGTGGAGAATGTCACTGCATCAGCCTCTTACCCAGTAGTGACTGATAACTGGAAAGCGTCATGGGCAAGGACGTGCCAAAGTCTGGTAGCATCTTTCCCATGCACACTGATGACCGTGAAAGCAAGAGTGGGTGGGTAATAGACAATCTTGAGAGGAAGACTGGCAGGACTTAGATATGAGTCCTTAGAAGTACAAGATACACCCTTTCCTGATTCCAGTGATGCCAAGAACCCTGAGCACCAAGGTCTGTCATTAACGTCCTCTACGAGGTGGTGCGGGAAACCCTGCATGGGAACCACCACAAAGGCACGATGTTTTTCAGACAGTGGAGCCGCAGATTTGAAGAACTCTGATCCTCAGAAGGACAAATGCTTGTCGGGGACCGTCAGGCTTATGTCCACCCCACGCCCCAAGTTCTCAGCAGCACTGAGATGAAGCCAAGGCTGTGGAGATTCCCCCACGTGGATGTTGAAGTGCTTAAAAAAAAAGACTAAAAAGCTGACCATGGAGTATGCTTTTTTTTGGCCTCTGAATCCTTGATCAAGCACATCCCAAGGGTCCTAGGTCCACGCCTGAAAAGGGCTGGCAAGTTCTCTTCTCTGTTGACCCACAATGAGAATTTGGTGGCAAAAGTAGAGGAGATGCAGTCCACCATCAAATTCTAGATGAATAAAGTCCAGTGTCTGGCCGTAGTTGTTGGCCTTGTGAAGAGACAGATGGTGAATGTGTTGACAGAGTCCACCTGGCCGTTAACTCTGATTTCCCAGCAAAGGAAGAATTGCTGAATGTTTGGGCTTTGTACATCAAGAGCACCACGGGCAAGCCCCAGCATCTGTACTAAGATAAAAATAAGTCTGTTACAGCTTAAAAGAAAAAGTACAACATACGGCATGTACTTTGAGTAGCACTTGATAGGCACTGCTGTGATACTGAGAAGACTAGATACCTCCTGGTAGACTAATGCACTTACTATGAGTAAGAATCAATGGCAGTGGGCTGAGGGTGTTTCTTGTTTGTTTCATGGAGTATGGTAGATTAGTCATCTACTGTGTTTAGAAAGGGAGGAAACAGCTGGTAATAGAGTAGATAATTTAAAAATAAATTTTACATTGGTTTCCATACAAACTTCTTACACGCTGTGTTTCACACTATTCCTTTATTAACAGTACATTTCATAGAAGCATTCTCATTATGCTTTATAAAATCAGTCACCATGGAACTATGCCCATCATTATCCAGTCTTTGCAGATCTCCGCTGGACATTTCCCATGGCCTTCATCTCCCTCCAGCCACCAAATTGTGTGACCCTGTGATTTCCCCCCCTCTCCCACCCACCCTCACCACTGTATTTCCACCGCTTACCCCCTTGGATACTTGTACACGTTTTACCAGTTACCCTTCTGTTACTACAACAATGGTCCTACGCAGTATTTATCCTTATTAGACCGGCTGAGTTCTGCATACTAGCGCTCTGGTGGCCTAGTGGAACTGTGCTGCCAAGTCAAAGGTTTGAATTCACCTGCTGCTGCGCTGGTGAAAGGGGAAAGGTGTGTATGTAGTCTCCTCCTGTGCGATTTACACCCTCTAGAAACCCATTGGAGGACCAGGTAGGGGTTGGGTCCGACCTGACCCTACACAGCAACAACAACAGCAACTTCTCTGAATGTTTGTCTTGGTTGAATGTTAATTGCACAGGAGGAGAACACCCATCCTTCTCCCGTGAAGCAGCTGGTGGATTCAGATCACGTGCATAAGAATCTTCTGGATTGCAGCACAGCTTCTGACCACTAGGTCAGCAGAACTCCCTGTGACAGACCACAAGCAGACTCACAGGGTTTCTTAGGTTTTATCCTTATGGGACGTTGTCCTGATGACACAGCCATTCAAATGTGAGGCCTCTAGGATCAAGAAAGGGGTAAAAGGGGAGACCAAGCCCTCAGCCATTCCACTGGAGAAAGGTGGGCAGTCCAGCTGGGACTCTCTGGGGAAGTTCTCCTTCGCCCCATAAAGCCGCTGAGGTGAAATCTGTTGGAAAGTGTGGGGTAGTCTTCCCAGGAGCAGCTCGTCAGGTTTTCTCCAGGCGCGGGGGTGCTGCTGTTGGCTTCAAACTGACCCTTCCACCAGCAGCCCACAGCTTAACTCCTGCCCCATCAGGGCTGCCTCTCTCGGAGCCAAACAGGAAGACCACACCAACTGTCATGTCAATTGCAATTCAGTGGATCCGCCACCAGGTGTCCAAGGCTGTTTACTTGAAAATAAAAATAAAAGATGAGATTAAAATAATGTGTTTTTAGAAGAGTACTGAACATATCTGATATCCAACACAATTTATCTCCGTGTGAACTGACTGCCCAATTTTTCTCTTTCATACTGACTGGGGGATTTGAAACCCGAATGTCTTGGCTAGCAACTGCCCCTAGACTACCAGCCAGGAGCGCCATCTCTTGACACGTTCCCAGATAGTCGGAGTTGCACGTATCAGCCTTCTCCAGGGACTGGAAGCTATGTGGACTACATTTCCCACCATGCCCTGCGGTTACAAGGCTGCGCGAGCTACACTTCCCAGTAAGCCTCGCGGCCACGGAGCAACAAAAACCACATTTCCCACTGTACCCCGCGTCAAGCGAGGCCAGAAAGCCAATGAGAGTTCAGAATGTGGCACATCTGCGCGCACGCGCACCCTGCCGGGGCGGGACTTCCGGCGCCGTCCCCTGGCTGTTATTTCCGCAGTCCTTAGGTCTGTCTGTCTGCGTCAGTAATCTGTGTTGCCGGTTCGGCCGGGTGACGGGTGCCGGCCGGGCACGAGAAAGAGGCGTTGTGCCCACTTCCCGCGGGGCGGGTCCGAGGCTGGGCGGCCACAGAGGTCCACAGGATCCTCGGGCCGCGGGCGCGCTGATGGACCCGCCTCCGGTGGGTGTTGCCGCGCAGACACAGGCCGGTCCTCGGATCCCGGAGCTCGCTGCCTGCAGCCGCCTGAGACCCAAAGACCCTGGGCACGTTCTTGTCTGCAGGTGGCCGGCTCGATCGCCCGTCTCAGGGGACATCCTCGCCCCCCACATCAGGAGCTGGGACGGATCGGCGTGAGCGCCCAGGCGCAGGTCCCCTGCACAGCGGAGCCCCTCGATCTGCGCCGCGGGGCCGGGATTCTGCGCGTTCGCAGACGTGGGTCCGCAGAGGCTGGGCAATTGAGTGCAGGCCGGGAGGAATATGGAGTGTCCATCTCTGGTCAGTGGAATGAGGCCTCAGGGTGATGTGGGTAAGGTGCTCACAGCACCCAGTGAACAGCAGGTCTGAATCCTGTCCTGCCCTGTCCCATCCTCATGGTCTCCGTCTGGCACACGTCCATGGTCACAGTGACTGTGTGAGTCCATCTTTTTGAGGGTTTTCTCTCTTTAGCTCGCCCTCTGCTTTCCACAGCGCAATGTCTTGAAAGGCAGTTTCCCCTTGAGAGTGTGCTCAACGTGAGTCGAGCTTCCACCGTGTCTCCAAAAAGCACCCTGGTTGCACTTCCTGAGGACATACTCGTTTAATCGTTTATTC